AAAAAGAGGGTACATAAACTCTAGAGGAATCAATCAAAAAACTTTTTAATATTATTAATTGATACAGAGTTCAGCCGAAGGCTATCGCCGAGAGGGTGATGGCGAGCGCCTGTTTCCTCAGCTCACGTAAGTAGACTTACATTATATAAGCCATGAACCTTAGGTGTGATAATATTAAAGTGCAAACCCCAGGGAGAGAAAGTGAAGACTAGATGGACTAGGTTTACTGAGAGAGATAAATAGAGGTAGAATACCCCAGAGCAGGGTGACAGGACGGAACTAATGTGTGTGCTACAGGGTCATAACCCACATGTAATGCGAACCGACGAACGTCGGCAAAGTGTGTATATATGATGTATATAGCGACATAGGTGAATAGAGTAGGATAGAAATGCGTTGTGATTTTAATTGAACGTAGCATTCCCTCAAGTGTTACCCTCTTCCCTGAAGACTCCAGCACCTCCCGAAGCTTCGACGAATTGCAAGTTAATGCCAGGACCAGTGACGTAAGCGGTCGATAAGTTTACTGGAGTTTTCTTGACATAACAAGATGGTGGCAGCATACTAAACCGGGTGACAGAGCGGGATACCTCCACGCCCCCTGTCACCACGGCGTAACACCAACCAAATTTAATTTCTACTTTCATAGTACCCTTGCTACTGCTTTCAATGGAACTGACATATAGTTCTCAATACCAACCTCACACCCATTCGTCGTTGCCACGTACTTCCAAAATATGGAGTCCAAGTTCGGGAACCTGAGAACTATTCGAGACCACAGCACCTTCAGTACATTCGCAACACGTACTTTCCGTACATAAAGTTTATTCATTACTTTGTGAATTTGCATATCACAGGACATCTTGTTTTTAGAGCACATAGGTCATAACCATAGCAAAAAACAATACCAGAGAGAACACATCCTACGTTAAGATTGTGCAATACCAGAAAATTTAATATTTATATCAAGAAGTGTCAAATGTTTGTAACCAATTTAAGTTCTGCGCCACTTTAAGCGGCTTAACTACAAATCATTAGGCTGCGTGAAAGAAAGCGTAATATTCTGTTTTCAATTTTAATAATTCTTGAAATTAATAGGTCTGAAATTTCGCCAGTAAGACTGCGGGAAGGTAGTGTAAAGAAAATGAAAGTCTTGTATTTATATAGGCCTAAGAAGATGATACCAGACAGTAGGAGTAGAATCACTGAGCCTTTAGTGTGGGGAGGGGAAACGAAATTTCACATTTCTATCTCGGTCTCAGTCTCAGTCTCATTCCTGTTTTCGATCCCAGAGCGATCGTGTAATCCAGAGAGAGTGGCGTGCTGCCTGGCAGGATCCTGAATCTCCTTATCAGCGAACACAACGTGCCCTTGATAACCTGCAGTCCGTACTTCAGACCTGCAAACAATATATTATACAGAGTGGGCAAAAATATTCTATGATATTTCGAAAATATTTGTGACGCAACCCATACAAGTTGCAACATCCGATGTTCACTAGAGCTGTGAAGAATTTTGCTTGCCAGTTACCTGCAGGTGTCTTAGATATTTGCGTCGTTGGTAACTCTACTTATGTAAATTGAGTACTCTAGCTTCGTCTGCATATTGTGACAAAAAGAAGAGAAGAACTGCTGTTTCTATGCAACGGCCAGTAAACAAACAAAATAACAATATGTGGGAAACTGTTTTTTCCATGTGTTCCGTTCCGAGCAAACTCACGGAACAATAGGACGTCTATTGTCAGGGAAAGATACTGTAAACACGAATCCTTAAAAAAAGAAATAAGACAACGTTTTCCGTGGGGTACGTGCAGATGAGTTACCTTGAACACAATCGGAGCTACGAATCAGTCAGTTCTCGGTAATTCAATTATCGGGGTCGTATTAAAAGAGGATGTGAACTACTAAAACATTCTGAGTTTTATAATAAAAAAAAAACTGGCGTGACAAAAAGTGATAGCTTTGAACATTGACAACAGACTACGGCTAAGGGAAAAGAATTTAACAATAAAAATTAGGAGTTCGGCAAGACTTTTAGGAATGGTACACTGAAAGCTCTAGAAATAGACTCGACCACTCGCTGCGGGTGAGCCAACGGAAATCGGTGGCGAGTTTGAGAAATATTTGTGTCTAGTAGTGCGAAAATATGGGAAAGAGAGTTTGATTGAAGTACATTTCTAAGTTCTGGTATGCAGTGAACTTAAAAGCGTACGTAAACATACCCACACAATTCCTAGGTCCAGCAGAGAACGCTAGATAGCAGTAAGGGCTTCTTCTCATCACGTTGTCGGGCAGGAAACGGTCCGGGTTGAATTTCTCTGGGTCCGGGAAGTATTTTGGGTTCCGGTGTATCTGGTAAGCCAGAAACATTACATTTGCGCCTACAGGAATGACAAAATCTCCTGAAATGATAAAAGTTGTGTAGGCCAACGGGTAAATTGGAAATACATTTCAGCAGCACGATACTTTCTTGAATATTTTAGCACCGTTGGATGGTGAAACAAAATTCCTTTTCACTCACCAACATCGATATCCTTCTGCAGTTTTCGTCCGAATACTGGTACGGTTGGATACAGTCGGATGGTTTCTCTGATTACCATTTCTAGATACTTCATTTCTTGAATGTCACGGTAGGTGGCAGGACGATCAGAGTCGCCAAATATTTCCTTCTGTTCCATCAGCACTTTCTCCTGAAAACATTTTTCCGTGTAAACTGACGGAAATCAGTGCGTTTTGCTTTCCAGAACTAACTCTCTCTCTCTCACCTGTACGTCCTGGTGCCGAGACAACATCCAGCAAGCGAAACTCAGTGCTGCGGCCGTTGCTTCATATCCCTGCAAGAAATACGCAATTTTATATGAACTTGTAAATACTGTGCCGTCTGCGTTCTGCTACCACTTGTACCACTTGTACCGTCTTACGGTCTGCTACCACAGCACCGTCACTCTCTGGCACCTTTCGGCTCCGTCTACCCTTCCTCAATCGGGGGTGGGGGACGATGCTCCGTCTTACGGCTTTCGTGCTGTGCTCGCACGCTCCCTAAATTAGAGTAAGGGATCCAAGCTAGCAGCGAGGTAAATCCAGTTACAAATGATGGCAATCAATATAATAACAAATAACAGAATTTAATAAACACAACTAACATATAACCAAAGAGAAGAATTCATCGTCGTTACAGCGCACGAGCCCAAGAAATTAAACAGAACAACTCAACTAATTGCACATTCACATGCTCGGCCAGAAACCTTCTAAGTGGACCCGGAAGAAGAACTACATACAGACGAGAAAGGACCATATATTTTACAAAGTGAGGTGGAAAAAGCTATCAAGGAAATGAGGAAGGGAA